CCCAAGCCCAAGTCCACCGCTAGCGGATATTGTCCTCTTTGGGTTTTTCTTTTTAGGCTTCATCTCAAGATTTTTAAAACACGTATGTTATGGAGAAGTTTCCACACCCTTAATAAGGAATGTTTCGTTCCCCTCTCCAACTGACGTGGGATATCACATCAGTAGCTCTATCCTTCAAAAAAAAAAATCCAGTTAGAAATAAACACAATGCTGGCATCAATTTAATATGGCCAACAAAATTCTTCACCTTTCCTCGTTTTTTCATTGTTTGCATTATACGCTAGACGTTACATGACAGGAAAACAATTGGGAGACTAGCAAGGCTTGAGAATACCAGGAAGTAGGCTGTGTTTCCTCAGTTTATCCCCAGCAAGCCTTATACTACCAGTTTGGTGCATCTAAAACCGATATAAATCTTGGTCCTTCAAATAACCAAATAATTGTGATATCCCTCAATTTCACATTCTTAAATAAAAAAGGGATTTATAAGTATTCAAAAGGCCTTTAGGTGGAGGTTTTTTTTAATAGACTGTAGCTAACAAACTCGAAGAGAAAGAATTGTAGATTACCGGATAATGCGCGCCTCATATCTCCATAACGCACACTGGTCCAAACTCCACGTTCTAGCCTGTGTTGAGCAGCCTTTGCAGACGCAAGCTGAAAGCCACTGAAAAATATGAAAATTTAAGAGGCAATGATATTAATACACATAACGACAAGCACTAATTGAAAGGGGAGGGGGTGACCAATGTAAAGAGTAATTGAATGGTGATTTTGATGATGCAAGAAGATTAGATGGAAGTATATATTTCTCTAAAAGTAGGCTATCCTGCTGATTTAAATAGTTGAAATACCTTTCCTCAGTTGCATTCGATCTATCACTACAGTTAGCAACATCAGCCGCCCTTAAGAATAAACTTCTGGATTGATTTTGTTGAAAAGGCCAAAAAGATTCCTTTAAATTGCTTAGAATCTGCATTCAAGAACACACATACAAAAAGAGTAAATCAGAACTTATCTAGATTGAAAAAGATAATAACTATAACTCTGTTGTGCTATAAAGGACATTAATTTTAGCATCTTAGTAGAAAATCTAGAAGCTCTCAAAAAATTGTAAGTCGTAACATCATCAGCCAAATATTGCTACTATAAAGTGAATAAGAAACTTTGATTTACTAATGATTCAATTTGTTTTTTGGTTGACTTGGTTAGACAAAATAACTACATCTTCAACAACTCCTCAACTTTTTAATTATCTACCTTTGATAGGACCAAGAGAAATTACCTCCACCAAGAGACTTTGGGTTGTTATGATGTGTGGTTGATCAGATTCCTTGCCTTTCAGTTTATGATAGGCTGTTGGGAGGCTAAAATCATCATGAGGATGATATATCTCAACATCAAAATCCAGAAGGCTCCATAAACGAAGCATTTTAAGAATCTCAGAGTATATGAGTGACAGTAGTGCAGCTGAGCCTGTACGATGGGTCAAGACCTGTGAACAAATAATAATTCAATTCCATTAAAAAAAGAACAACAATTGACTCAAAATTGAAAATAAAGGGCATAATCTTTTACCGTGTGAAGATATAGAGCTCGTGGTTCTGTTTGAGCTTTACAACTGGTTCTTCGGAAACCCTAAAATGTAAAATACGTCATGGGCAGAAATGGGAAAAGCATTTTACTTATGTACAGCAAAGGTACACGTTTGTCAAATTTGAAAATCTTACCTTCATGACGTACAAATACCTCTCTATACTTTCCAATAAACTTTCTGGTGATAAATTGAATGAAGATTTGTAGTGAGTACAATAGCCCATGGAAAGGTCATTTATTCTATGAACAAATGCATCGACCGGAAGAGGAACAGATGAATGAGATACCAAGGAATCATCCTCTGCTGCAATATAAAGAGCAGCTTTCGCCAAATCAACACCCCTATTAATGCTAATACTGGTTTCCCTCTCTATATTAGATAAATAATGAATCTGAGTCAAGAAACCCTTCCTAGCCTCCTGCATAGTCATTGACCACCAAAATAAGATTTATTTGACTAATTTGAGCATACTGTTCTTTCATTTTTGTTAACCATGTTAGGTTAACATTGTCAAAGCACAGAGCAAAAATATCAAACTACCTAAGTTTTACATTAAATACCATATCATATCTGATAAGGATCATGGTGTTCCAAATATTCTAATTGGACCTATTGCAGGATCCAACGATCCAACGACCAAGAAAGTTCAATAAACATTCATTCTTCATCTACAAAAATTCAATAAACTTTCATAAATTTAGTTCTAATCTTTAGCATCTAGCTTGTTTAAGAGAAAATTACCACACTCATAATTTCTCTTAAAACAGGTTCCATTATCTAAAACAAGTTCTACCGAAAAGAATGCATAACACATTGAAGTTTCAAAACTTGAAGACGAACTAAACAAGGGACGTGAATTGAATCAAAAGCAGCCGATAAACAAACCAGAAGAGAAAACAGAAGAATGAATTACCTTAGCGTAGGTGGAGTCAATTCCAGAAGAATCCAAAGCATCGTGGAGAAGGAAGCGGAAATCCTTGGGACCATCGGGCTGCCGAAACCCACCGGAACAAACCACTCGAAAACTCAGCGAGGTGGAAGGGGATGAAGATGAAGATGAAGATGAAGAGGAATTGAATTTGGAGAGTTTCGAAGAAGAAATCAGCCTTGGAATGCATAAGGAAGCAGAAGTGAAGGAAGCCATTGCCACCAGAAATCCAGAAGCAGAGAAGTTCAGTGTTGCAGAGATATAAAATATCTTTCCGCCCCCCATCAACGTAAATATTGATAAAATATCGACATTTTTTTATTAAAAAAATATAATAAATATTAAAAAAAAATAATAATTTAAAAATTAAATTACTTAATTAATCTTTCCCTCATTTTAAGTAAGTTTCAATTTCTTATTATTGCCGTAAGTCCCACGCTGTTCATATTTTGGTTATATTTTATTGATTTATTATATGATATAATGTAATTTTTTATTCATCCAAATAGAAATGTGCAATAACTTAATCGAATTAAATCCTACCGTAAAAATTAATTATTAACTATATATTAAGTAAACGACAAAATCTCATTGAATTGATCTTAAAAGTATTTAATTATATATTATTCATAATTAATTTATTGACATATACGTGTAAAAAATCTCATCCAATCAATCTTAAAAGTATTTTGATGTAAACACTAAATCATAAAAAAAAAAAAATAATAATAAATAAATATAGGGAGACAGACAGTATTGTTATAAAATTATTATTTTCTTTAATAATTGTTTTTATTTTTTAAAAAAAAATTCTCAAGTTAACGATGTCATTAAAATAGAGACTGGACACAAATTTGAAATTTCATATCTTAAAAAATTAATTGAAAAAATAACGGTCATTTTACACGTGCCTTGTTCGGATAAGGGAACTTAAAATAGGGCAATTTCGCAGTGCTGGCCCATTTGTAGGCCCATGTGTAGGCCCAAATTTTACGTGGGCTGTTTCAATCTCTTTAAAGGGTTGACATGCCATTAAAAAACAAGCTAATATAATCCTACAAGGACATCACTTTGCCAATGGTGGGTCATTTATGTCATTTACTACTTTATTCAAGATTCATGTGTACATCTTATCAATGGCTTCCTTCTAATCGGATTATGACATGTGGCAGTTTGTACAAAGTCTAAGGATTAAAGATTCACCTGAATTCAAATAATTCAACTTTATACTTGAGATAATAGGATTGAGATCAAGTCCGAATCAGGGTTGAGCTGACAGTTCATCAAAACAAATGAGATTAGAGCTACGAAAGAGGTTCTAGAAAATTGATTTGACCAATTGAATTAATGTTTTAATCAACTCCCCGAACTAAACAAACAGTCAATTCTATAGGTTGGGTATGTGATCAAAACTTAGTCAGGCTGTTATAACCTTGTAAAGACAAATAGAATTAACCCTCTTTATTTTTTATAAAAAAAAGTTTTAAAAAATTCTTAATATTAATATATAGACGAAAATCGTCTATCATACCTTCATAGATTATTTTTCAAACTTTTTAATTTTAAAACGAATATTTAATATTTTTATGAATTTAGTCTAAAAAAGATATGTTAAGATGATTAGCTGTAATTAAAGGTAATTTTTTTTCTAATTTAAAAAATTTTAAAAACTAAATGGAGGATCAAATTCAAAATATTATTATTTAATAAATTTTGGAATCAAATCTCTTTTAAATCTCCATTCAAATTTTATTCTTAAAAATAAATAAAATAAAACCACCGCTACATCCAAATGAGGAATGTATATATATATATATATATATATATAAAGAATATACGCATTATCTTTAAATACAATAATTGTAAATGAATTTCAAAAAACAACTCATCAATGACAAATTATTTATATTCCATGTGATGGAAGATAAGGAAAATAAGAAAAGAAAATGTATTATTATTATTATTTATTAAAATGGACAACCAAATTTGAAAATCAATCCCGATTTCTATACATTAAAATGATTTAAATTAATATTTGTTCAAATAATTATTCACCGTTTATTTTTATTACTTATTTTCAATATATAATTAATTTAATAATTTATATGAATTAGTTCAAATAAATTATTAATTATTTCTTCTTATTTAATTAATTCAAAATTTCGTTTTTAATAAAAAAATAAAATATTAATAAGTAAAATGTTTATTTATTTATTTTCAAATATAAATTCAATTTGAAACTATTTCGATATATTAATTAAATGATACAAGAATAAATAATTGAAAAAATAATTATAAGATTAAATAAAATTACAATAAATGTGTATAACTAATTTTTTAAAAGAAAAAAAAATAATAGCTCAATTGTTATTTATTTAAAAATAGACAATTCAACTAAGTTGATGACAAATCAAAAGATGAGATCTGATATTAATTATTGGTTTCATTTCAGAAAAAACTAACTAAAGTGAAAAATAGAAAAATGAAAAATTATTCGATAAATTATCAGGCAAAATTGAACCGCAGATCTATACAATTTTTGTTAGTTTCCCAAGAAAATTTGTGGTTAGAACAACTCTAGTTCTTTACAGAATTGACTAAAAACGGAATTAAAATTAGTGGCGGAGTTCTTCGTTGTTCTTGTGTTCATCAATTCCTTGTGGATTTTTCTTTAATCAAATGAGGTCTCAGTTTCCTCACGTCAGACAATTGAACTGGTTTGAGGAAGAATTCTTCCGCTCCTTCTTCCAAGCATCTGTTGATTCTTGAAGGTACATTCTCAGAGGACATAATCACAACCGGTATGTCTTTAAGAGATTTAGATTCCTGCAATTTCATGGCATCAAAATTAGTGATTGATTCACAGTGGATTTAAGAGATTTTTCTTTTGGTTGAGAATAATCTTGTAATGGAGAAAGAAGAATATTAAAAGTTAGGGCAAACCTTGATCTTCCTGAGGAGATCGTAGCCGCTCATTCCAGGCATACTGTAATCCGTGATGATCAAATTTACATCCACTTCCTGAAAACAGAAACGATCCGAGAAGATGCAAGTTAGAGAAAGAAAGAAGGATAAATCCTGAGAAATAGAGAGAGAGACAGAGAGAATTAGGGCTCGTACTTGATGATGATTTGAGGGAGCGATTTCGGAGTCCGGTTCATCATCATCATCATCATGATCTCCATCAAGACCAAGAAATTCCAAGGCCTTGTTACCGGAATCAACAACAGTAACTAATCAAAACAGAGAATCAACACTGAATTAGCCCTAAATCCGAGAAAATCTCCAATGCTAAAACAAAAGAGCGAATGAAATCGTGAAATACCATGATAGGAAGAGGTTTTGAGGAGGCGCTCGATCAATTTCCTATCGATGAAGCTATCATCAACAGCAAGAACATGGAACTGAGTCGATTCAACAGCAACACCCATAGCTAGAATGAAGATTCAACAGAAAGAAACGAAGAACAGAAGAAGATTGAATGAGAGTAAGGGGAAGAGGGGATTGGAGAGTTATATATATATCTATGGATTGATTCCATAGTGGGGAAAAATGTTGAAATGTGACAGTTGGAAAGTGAGATCCGACAGATTTGATTCGGAATCGAGAGGATCTTCAAGGTTGATTTGGTGTAGACGAGCTCTCCTGACCAATTCTTTAATTGATTTGGGAATTCAAAGTGTTGGTTGATTTTCGAGCAGCAGCCGTGGGCGCCCCTGTTTGTGGCCTTTTCGTCACAGCCAATGGTTCAGCTGTACTGTCGCTGTGTGCGTCGTATAGTACGGTACGCCCGGTCCCCTCCCTTCCCCCACCAAACTTTTCCAACCATTCCTTTTTTAAAAAATCATTCTATTTCAAGTATTTTTTACTAAAAAAATTAAAATTTTATTTTAAAATTTGTATTTTTTGTTGGTTCATATATTTTGGTAATTTTGTTTTATTTCCTACCCTTAAATATTTAAAGTTAGCCATTTACTCCCTATAAAATTTGAAATTAGCATCTTTTGATTAGGGTGGTTTGGATGAAAGTCCCATAATTTTGGGAATGATCATGAGTTTATAATCAAGCAATACTTTCTCCATTGTTACGAGACATTTTGAAGCAAAAACATAAGAGCTTATACTCAAAGTGGACAATATCGTACCATTGTGGAGAGTCGTGTTCATCTAACATGGTGGTATCAGAGTCATGTTCTATACTGACCCATGTCAATAGAATCCTCAAATATCGAACAAAAGACTCCAAACAAAAGAAAAAAGGAGTCAAGGCTACCTAAAAAAAACAAAGTCATGAGAGCTTATGCTCAAAGTGGACAATATCATACCATTGTGGAGTTGTGTTCATCTAACAGTAACAAGGTAGTCGTAGGAGAACTCAATTGAATCCTTCGCGATGCAAATGCCCTCTTCCTTCCTCCAACCCAACTGAGAGGAAACACCTACTCCTAACGAAAGGAAACGAGTCAAGCATGCGTTCGCATTTGTGCATTTGTTTTTCAACTTGCTTCAAAGAAGAAAAAGCTGACTGACGCGCTCCCGTCTCTAACCTAGGCTTAGATTTTTCAAGATTTTTTTTTTGTCGATTTGTGGTATTAATTTGAAAAGAAAAGTTTGTGGATGAAAATAAAATTTTAAAATTACTAACAAAATGTCACCTTCCTCTTGAATTTCTTAATTTATAAATATTTTAAAGTGCAAATAAAATATTGAAGCAAGTCAAAATGTACTTTATCAAAAAAAGAAAAACAATCATATAGTAATAGAAAATATTGGGTCCCAAACAAAGCATATAATATCATATCATATCAAATCTTTATAAAAAGAAGACACTTCCATCTCATTGCCCTCCTTCCACACCATTATCTAGGGTTCCCCACATGAATATTGATTTGTTAATTTTTTTTTTATTTGTTTTAATTCTCACGTTCTAGATATATTTGAAGAAAATGTTTATGGAATTAATTGATTTGGATACCCGAGGACCCTAATCTTTTCTAGGAATTGCTTCTATGACGATAGATAGGGGCCAGATTTGTATGTCTAGGAACGAAGAAAGCATAGAATGAATATTGACGCCTCTCCCACTACTTATTGGTGGGTTTGAATATGGCACAGGAATTGCAAAATTGCATTTGTTTTTCGTCTTTCTTTTTTTAGTAAGATTAAAATATCATTGTTCGAGAATCTTTTTATGGGACATCCAATGATAAAACAAATAGTGGTATAAATGCCTAAATTTAACTTCTTGCAAAATTAATAATAATAATAATAATAATAATAATAATAATAATAATAATAATAATAATAATAATAATAATAGTGACTTTATATTTAAACGAGGGTACTATTATATTTTGAATTAGATCAAATACATAAAAATAATTTTTATATTAAATATTTAAAATATATTTATAGTCAGAGAATTAGTGCCTATGATATTATGGTCAATGATGACATATTTCTTAAGTGATTGAAATATAATGAGATAGACCCATTCATGTTGCCAACTTGCCACATGTGGTTAGAAATTAGGATATGGTTCTAGTGATGAAGTAACGTCAACGTTACAATCATATCATTTCTTGTTAGTAAAAATAACGTAATGTTTATTTATAAAGATTAGTAACACAAAACCACTCATTTTATTGTAGCCTCGATGTGACAACACTCAATAGTTCAATGTCAATGGTCATAAATGGTGGGTTATTTTATAGTTCGATGACCTTGCTCGTTGGTGGAGAAGCATATTATAGTTTGACTAGCTCAAGGGAGATGAGTATCGAAATGGATCTAATCATTTACCTTCTTATTTATGATTAGAAATATCTATTTAACTTGCATGGAACAAAATAGAGAATATTTGTTTGAATGAAGAATGGAAAAGAAGCCGAGAGATTTTTTTCGTTAACTTAATGAAGTGTGGCGGAGAACCAGTCCTCGACCCCACCAAATTCCTACCCCTAAACACTAACTAAAGAACAATAGAAAGAAATTGATCCAAATGGGCAATTACAAGAAACAATGCAAACAAGATTAAGTTTCAAATCAAGAAAATATTGAGTGACAATTGGGGAGCGACTTGAATTAAATAGCTTTTATTGGCCTTTTGTAGTTGAACTACATTAGGCATGTAATACAAAAAAACATTGTGTTTGAAACCCCTTTGGGTGTTATGTTTCTTTCCAACCTTGTTTTAGATTTGATGTTAAAAACGATTCATTAGATTAGTCATGATCAAACTAATTCTAGAAAGAGTCGTCTAGGTATTTAAGAGTGACCATCATAGATTCCAAATTCGATCTACGAGTTATTAATCCTTTTAACCCCTCTTCGTTAGAATCATTCACTAAGTTAAAGTTTGTAAAGATATTGGAAAAACCTCTAACTTTGAAAAATCCAACATTGTTAAACGTTTATCATTGATTATTGAAATTTAAAATTTTTTTAAAGCAATGAAATTAAACTGCCAACATAGTAAGTCACAAACAAGCTTCCCTCATCTAAATGTATAAAATTTTAACTGATGCATTCAAATAAAGTACAAAAAAAAAAAAAAAAACATTAAAATGTTGTATCAACTAAAATAAAAAAGAATAAAAGTACAAACTAAAATCTAAGGGAGGGAAGTGGGAGAAGGTTCTGTTTCTTTATGTGTCAGCAGCAAATACTCTCAAGACCTCTAAAACCAATCTTCACAGCAACACCTCCATATAGATGTTTTGAAAGGAATACAACATAGGAAAGGGAAGGGGCCCTCTTTCTCCGGCGCAAACTGACATGGATTACTGAGGCGTCTGGCCATGAGGCGGGGGACCTGCTTGTTGCGGTGGTGGCATCCCGGGTTGACCGCCGAACTGCAGAACACAATGCAAAACATTTAAGAAATCTGGTGGCTTAATTAGCGAAGTTCTAAGAATGTCCCCAAAACAACGTAATATTGTTATAAATAGTATCAGAGTTAGACACAAGGCGATGTGTCATCGAGAAGGCTGAGCCCCAAAAGGGATGGACACGAGGCGGTTGCCAGCATGACGCTAGGCCCTGAAGGGGGTGGATTGGGGGGTCCCACATCGATTGGAGAAGAGAATGAGGGTCAGTGAAGATGCTGGGCTCCAAAGGAGAGTGGACTGTGAGATCCCACGTTGGTTGGGATGGAAAATGAAACATTTTTTGTAAGGGTGGAAACCTCTCCCTAGCATATGCGTTTTAAAAACCTTGACAAAAAGGACAATATCTGCTAGCGGTGGGCTTGGGCCAATAGATTTGAATCCCCCATCAGTGTAATTCAGATCCATTCTAGATTTTGGGTGTAGATAAACAGATGCAAATATGATTCAACAGTCTCAAGGGTGTTAATGTTTGCAATTCAGCTTCTCTATATTGGGAAACTGATAGCCAGAAGATGTGCTAGAGATAACGATAACTATTACGATCTTACCTGGTACGGGTTGAATCCTGGCGTCATTGGCATTTGCCCGGCCTGTGTCCGATTGAATGCACCGCCCTGTGGATACATTGGTGCCCCAGACGCATTTGATGGGCCTTGCATATTTGGCAAACTATTCTGAAAACCTTGAACAGAAGGTGGAGCACCACTGGTAGGCATAGATCCAGAGTGCATTGGATTCATGCCCATAAAATGGTTTTGTTGCATGGGAGGACCCATCTGATTCATAGATCCTTGCATCCCCTAATAAGCATAGTTAAATTTGTCAGGCATCTACAGAGAAAGGGATTATGCATGGATAAAGGACAAAGAAATTATAATAAAAATCCCATTTACACAAGTCTTAACAGGCAGCAATTCATGCATGTTATCGTTCAAGGACAGTCATGGTTGACCTGGGGATCCAAAAACCCTCAAGAACACTTAAAAACGATCGGGGATTGTGATATCATATCACAAGGACAGGGATTTTCTCCTCCATCCACTTTTTCGTGAAAACGTTCGATTCTTATGACTTACAACGGTGTGTGCTATATTGTGGAATCTATGTGGAGATAGGAATAATAATGTTTAGACTTATCCACTGACTGGTTGATTTAGAAATTCCCATAATAAGAAAACCAAGATTAAATGAATAGACATAGTAGCAAAAGATCATACCATTGGACCAGGCATAGGCATTTGTACCGAGGCAGGTCCTGGTGAAGGCAATGATCCAGGCTGTGAAGGCATATTCAGTGAGGGCATTTGTGGCGGTCGAGGTAAATTTGGGTGTGGGAGCAAAGGGAAATGCGACGGTGGCTGTAAGTGTGGCAAATTTTGAGGTTGCATGGGCCCTGGGGCCATTTGTTGGTTCTGGTGGTGTTGTAGTTGCTGCTGCTGCTGCTGTTGCATGAACTGCTGAGGGTTCTGTTGAAAAGAATGCTGCTGATTGGCAGCAAGAAGAGAAGGGTGTGGACCAGGTGGGAGGGGAGGAGCCCCTACTGGCATTGAAATTTGATGTGGCTGCTTATGTTCTCCCATTGCAGCAGTATCAGATAAGGGCATTGCAACTCCAATGCCAGGAATGGTTCCCTCGTTTCGAGCCAGGCCAGGCGGAAATGGTCCAGGAGTAGTAGGTCCATCAGGTACCACGAAGTTACCAGTCATACGAGCAGAGCCAGCGGGATTTTGCTCATTGTAACCTAATAAAAAAATATGTGAAGTAAAAAACAAATGACATTTCTAAATACAATCAATTCTTCTCTCATACTAGGACAAACGTGCAAATGCTAGATTACTTATGCACTATACACAATGAGCTAATCAACAATTCCACTATGGTGTTTCAGCTAAGGTCTGCTCAAACCATACCACCCAAATCAACAAGCCATGTCATATTCTCAATCTTAGCTATTCAGTTGGGCTTACCTGTGCTAAACTTATCACGAGCGGTGTCTCCTGGCCTATTTCTACACCAAAATTTGGTTGTGTGATCGTTGCTACCACTGCAAACGAAAACATCCATCATTCATCAGAACCTACGGTAATCAGTGCTTCCAAAATAGTCCATGCTATTAGTAAATGGCAACAAATGAACAATCATAAATACAAAACTTTAAAAGCAAAACAGGCGTTGATTTAAATACATAAGAACAGAATAATGTAGCAGGAATAAAACAGAAACAAACTTTGAAAGACATCCTCACGCAATGAATTTACTGGTTACTTAATGTTAATGGTTTTACTTACTGTTCATCATGGTAGCAGTCATTATCCATGTTGTATTTTGATTGTTTTGTACTGATTATTTATAGAAGCCATAAGCAAAATAGTTGTCAGGATTTGAATATTATAAGATCCATAAAATCATCCAAGATTTATTCCATCATCCTGGATTGTTAAGATTAAGATAACACTCCGAACTTTACCAGCAATCTCTCGTAGGCATTTAATTTTCCAGCATCCATAAGAAAACCTTGTCACTAAAGTCCTATTATTTCTTTCCAACCAAAGTTTCTACAAGAACCATCAGGTTAGTTGGAGCTATAGTCTCTTTAGCCTTGTGGAAGGGGGCAACATTTAGGTAAGATTCCAATAAACTCCCAACGGATCTAGGAGGACAGTTTGCCGCTTGAAAGAAGATGACAGTGTTTCACAAATGGCAATGAATCAAGAAAAGGTCCAGTTCCTCTGTCTTCTTTCCATCCAAGCTTCCCCTCAACCCCTCAAGGTTTTAAAACTCGCCTGCTAGGGAAAAGTTTCCACACCCCTATAAAGAATGCTTCGTTCCCCTCTCCAACCGATGTGGGATCTCACAATCCACCCCTTTTCAGGGCCCAGCGTCCTCATTGGCACTCGTTCCCCACCCCCCTTCAAGACTCAGCGTCCTCGCCAGCACACCGTCCAGTGTCTGGCTCTTATACTATTTGTAACAACTCAAGCCCACTGCTACCAAATATTGTCCTCTTTGGGTTTTCCCTTTCAAGCTTTCCCTCAAGGTTTTAAAACGCATCTACAAGGGAGAGGTTTCTACACCCTTATAATGAATGGTTCGTTCCTCTCTCCAACTGATGTGAAATTTCACAATCCACCCCCTTTGGAACCCAACATCCTCGGTGGCACTTGTTATCCTTTTCAATCGATGATCGATGTGGGATCATTTTAATGAAATACCGAACTTCAATTGAGAATAATACTAGACCATACACAAGAAAAGCACCCACAAGAAAGAGCCAAACTAGAAAGTTGCACATTGGACGATAACAAAACTATCACATGCGAAAAAAAAGTCCCATATTTGGAAATAAGTAATTAATGAACCCAACTTCCAGAGTGAGTTACGGAGTATGATTGTGTGAGAACATCAAATCCATAACAAACTATTCTATACAAAAGAGTTATAAAAAATAATAAAAGCATTTTTTTTATACACAAGAAAAGGATAGGAACCTATTACAAACATTCCAAAAAATTGACAAAAAGTACAGAGGCACAACCAAAAACCTTCGACGTATTTGGTCTTTTCCGAGTATTTTACTGTTAAGTATAGTTATGATTTTTTCAGTTTATCTATCTATTGATCAAATAAATAGTAGTTATATCTATCAATATGTATGGTCTTGGACTATCAATAATGCTTTTTCTTTAGAGTTGGGCTACTTGATCGATCCACTTACTTGTATTATCTTGGACTATCAATAATGCTTTTTCTTTAGAGTTGGGCTACTTGATCGATCCACTTACTTGTATTATGTCAATATTAATCACGACTGTTGGAATTATGGTTCTTATTTATAGTGACAATTATATGTCTCACGATCAAGGATATTTGAGATTTTTTGCGTATATGAGTTTGTTCAATACGTCAATGTTCGAATTTGATCCAAATTTATATTTTTTGGGAATTGGTTGGAATGTGTTCTTATCTATTAATAGGTTTTTGGTTCACTCGACCTACTGCGGCAAATGCTTGTCAAAAGGCATTTGTAACTAATCGCGTGGGGGATTTTGGTTTATTATTAGGGATTTTGTATACAGAGCACAAAATGCAAAAATTATCCATACCTGCAAAGAAGATAACCAATAGGATGCCATGCAAGGTCCCAAACACTATTATCGTGTGCATTGGAAATTTCAATCTGAGGAGTTTCATGTCTGTGAATAAGAGAATCATGTAATGAAATGAGATTAAAGACCTTAAAAATCATTGTAATCATGAATTGTATTGAAACACCAACCAATATTAAATCACAAACAATGAAACATAGAAAAATGGAAACGCTAACATTATTTCAAGAATTGATCCGATAATGTGACTATCTTCAACGTGCAAGCTCAAAAGATATTTTGAATCCTATCTAATACATCGTTGTATCATAAATGTTCATTACATGAGAAAGAAATTATCTTGCTACCCTCATGAAATTAAATAATGTAATAAAATTGTTGAAAATACTTTATTTATATGAAATTCTGATAACATTTCTCATGCAACACCAAACACATAGTTATTTGGTTCCTAAGCATTCTATTTCCAAAAATCTTTTTCTAACCATTCTTTTCTTAGGTATCATACACAAAACCTTCAACCAAACAGCCCCTAATGAGGACATTGACAACCACGAGCAAGGAATGAGGAAAAGGGATCTCCCTTAAAGGGACCTCATTCCTCTTCCCTTCAAAGCCAAAACAAAACTGTTTCTAAACATAAATAACATATATTATATATAATACAAGAAATCGAATATTCAACTGAAGAACAAACATACCCAACAAGCCAATGAAAAATAGAGCCATCAAAACTCCCACTAACAAAATACTCTTCATGGAAAGGGTGCCAGGCCAATGCTGCAAAACAAACCACCTTAATATAGTATTTACCATATTGATAAAATAAAAGGAAAAACCAACTTGATATTAGTACTGACCTTAAAATAAAATAAACGAAAATATTTATTTTTATCCATATATTAGCTGAGTATGTTAAATTTATGCATAAAACTTTAAACTTCACAAGTAGTGAGAATAATACCCTCGATTTTTCAATTAATTTGTGGCAAAATGTGTAGACATTCTTGTAGGTGCTTTTGTGACTGGACTTAAATAATTTCTGGCTAGGACGCCAAACTTTGGTTAATTTATTGGTGGGTCTTGAATGATCTTCTTGCTTGGATTTGAGGGTTCAATTTGATCAAAGTAAAATTCTAAGGTTAAAATTGACCAATTATGAGGTAATTACTCGTTATTAACAGTCAGACCCGTGGTAATATTATGGCTATAAGGGTTTTGTGGCAAGGCGACTCCTCTCCCCTTTGCCTCTTTACACTTCTGGGAGATGCTTTTAGTAAGCTTGTCCACTTTTGGTTGGAAAGAAGAATTTTGAGAGGGTACTGTAGAGAGTCAGAATGTGGTTATTTCTCACTTGCAGTATGCTGATGAAATGAATTGGCAGAAGATGATTTTCCTCTTTCTTAGCAGCTCAGGGATCAGTTTAAACTTCTTTAAAACCAACTGATTGGGATTAATATGGTTGAGCAGGAGGTGTTTAAGCAAGTTGTTGGCCTTGGTTGTAAAGTTGAGAACCTCCCCTTTAATTACCTTGGCTTCCCCAGTTGGGAAGTAAGTATCCGCCTTCTATATTATTATTTTTTTTGTAAGGACAATTTCATTAATGATTTATAAGTATCCACCAGTTGGGAAGGGGGATGTAATATTCATATTACAAAAAACTTTCCCAATTTGCAATAAAGGAGGTATAACTATAGGAAGTAAAAAATATTAGACAGTTTACACCAAGATACAGCTTAGTAAACAACATTGTTGAAAAGTTTCATATAAGTCTTTGTCTTGTCCGCGAATATTCAATGATTTGGTCATTAAAGACCCACCAATCAATTAACCAAAGTTTTGAACCCTCCAGAAGAAAGATCATTCAAGACCCACCAAAAGAAAGCCATGATGAGGTTATTCCATAGTAGGGTTTTACATTCTTGAAAGGTTGGTCGGTTAAGGTCATGTTCAATAGATTCTTTACCTCTCTGGGAATTGTGAGATGTCATCCAAATATATTAACAATTGTTGTCTATGCGCATTTTTTGCATAAATAAGTGGAGTCTTTTGTTACAAGAGAATGAGCTTTAGTTATGACAGCATTAAGAAACATCTTGTTGTACAAAATTCCAAAAGGTATCAAACGAGGTAGTCTTACCATCAAAAGTTCCAGGTCATTAAAAAAAGAGTGATGGCTCCCCTCTAGGCATCTCCCCTTTCTCCTCTCTCCCTCTTGTCACTAACGAAATCCAATCTCTTCCCCCTCCACTTTCAACTCTAATGGATTTTAAAGGAGTCTCTAGTCATGGTCGCGCGTCTTAAAGCGGTCAAGTGTGCCGCTGAACATAAGGTCTTCTTAGAAATACTGAGCTTTTTGACTTGATTTTTTGGGCTCTCTATTTTCTCATCCCTCTTTCTTGCATAGGACCAATATGCTTTGCAGCTTACTTCACTATTTCCACATCAGCTGAGTAGAGTCTCTTGCTGCTCCAATATTTGATCCATACTTACTGGTACACTACTGCTCTTTCTTGCACTATTTCCACATCAGCTGAGTAGAGTCTCTTGCTGCTCCAATATTTGATCCATACTTACTGGTACACTACTGCTCTTCGCACTACTGTTGGGGCTTTCCTAGTGGCTTTCTATATATTCCATCATATTTCTTGCCTCCAACTTTTCTTCCATCTCATCACAGGGTACTCCAGCTTCCAAGCACAACATGGCTAGGTACACTACTGCTCTTTCTTGCACTACTGTTGGGGCTTTCCTAGTGGCATCATATTTCTTGCCTCCAACTTTTCTTCCATCTCATCAAAGGGTACTCCAGCTTCCAAGCACAACATGGTTATCAGCCATGGGAAAGACCGCCTTCCCACCTTCTTGCTTGCGCAATTAACAATCTCTTCTACTATAATCTTGCCCACATCAATACTTAATTTTTCATGATTGCAAATATCAGCAAGACTCATTCTGCAGACAGTGGAGTATCATGTGTGGTGGGTAGTAGGTTGGCTTTCACGAATGCAACCCACAATGGTAGCAGCAGACCTCATAGGAGAAACATAGTGGTAGATTTCAAGAAGAGGAGCAAGGACAATGCTACCAACAAACCTCAACCCAGAAGCAAAGGTGTGAGGTGCATTCATGCTGAACGAGTCTTGCTGATATTTGCAATCATGAAAAATTAAGTATTGATGTGAGCAAGATTATAGTAGAAGAGATTGTTAAATGTGCAAGCAAGAGGGTGGGAAGACGGTTTTTCCCACAGCTGATAACCATGTTGTGCCTTGAACCAGGGGTGCCCTTTGATGAGAAGGAAGAAAGTTGGAGGCAAGAAATCTGATGGAATATATAGAAAGCCACAAGAAAAGTCTCAGTAGTAGTACAAGAAAAAACAGCAGTATAACAGTAGGTATGGATCAAATATTGGAGCAACAAGAGACCCTACTCAGCTGATGTGAAAACAGTGAAGTAAGCTGCAAAGCATATTGGTCGTATGCAAGAAAGAGGGATGAGGAAATAGAGAAAGCCCAAAAATTCAAGTCAAAAAGCTCAGCATTTCTAAGGCAAAGACCTTATGTTCAGCCGCACACTTGACCGCTTTAAGACACGCAACCATGACTAGAGACTCCTTTAAAATCCATTAGAGTTGAAAGTGGAGGGGGAAGAGATTGGATTTCGTTAGTGAGAAGAGGAAGAGAAAGGAGAAAGGGGAGAGGCCGAGAGGGGAGCCATCACCCTTTTTTTAATGACCTGGAACTTTTGATGGTAAGACTACCTCATTTGATACTTCTTGGAATTTCGTACAACAAGATGTTTCTTGGTGCTGCTATAACTAAAGCTCATTCTCTTGTAACTTCCCTCTCTCTTTGTTACTCCTTGATTGGAGGCCTCTTTGTTAGTAGTTCTTTGTGTTGCTTCCCCACCCCTTAGGCTGTGTTTGTCCCCTTCCTCCCCTTTTCTAATATATACAGCAGGTTTCTTACAAAAAATAATAATAATTAAATGAACATTGTTGTAAGTGTCCAAGCTCATGAAGAATCCTAGCCTTAAATGTTCAACTGATGTGTCACAAATGATAAGGTAAACCTTACAAGAAAGATTTATGTAATGATAAAATGGTACGATACAAACCTTTAAAAAAAACTTCTTGAACCATAAATAAATAAATAATAATAAAACTTCTTGAACCAACCAACACAAATAATTTAAAAAAAAAACATTCAAACCACAAGTGGAACACAACATTTTTGTTATAACGGCAGGCAAATCAATTAACTAAACGAACAACAGAAGTACACAAATGAAGAATCGGAGCAGCCAAGTGAAATGAAAGGGGAAAAAAAAGGCCACATCCGATAAACTGTCATTGTCAGTTTATATACTGTCTCCAGCCAAGTGAAAAAAGGACAAGCGACCATGACTGGAGACTCAAGTTTACATACTATCTCCATCAAATAGAACAAACATTCTATAAATTGTAATCAATTACCAGTCACATCCTTTCTATGCCCGCGGAACGACTCGAGTTCTTTCATAGCCCTTATGTCATAAAGCTGCAAAAGAAAAAATAAATTACATTAAAAAAAAGAGAGTAAGAGGATATTAATATAAATAAATGAGATGAATATCTCCAGTTGGAGAAGTTAAGTACCTTGATGATTTGATCCTTTGAAGCAGTCAGCACCCAGTTACCATTTTGATTCCACTTAACACATAGTACTGTATTTTTATGACCATGACTGAAAACACAACCATCATTCCTCACAAATTAGTTCAGCATTAATATTATTTTTTTTTATAACTAGATATTACACTCACAATGAGCAAAGCTCTTTCCCGGATTTTGCATCCCAAAGTTTTACGAGGTTGTCTTTGCCACCTGATAAGTTTCCGACCAGAACAATAAATATTTACAAGATCACTCACGGAAAGTTCTAAAAAAAGTTGCCTAATACAAGGCAGAAACCTGAAACTAGTAGAGACTTCGTGGGGTGCCAATCAACACTTTTCACATCCCACCCATGGCCTGCCTGAGTTCAAAACAGAAAATCTGGGTTACTTTAAGGATTCTTAACAAACAAATCACACAATCCGTGGTCTTCAAGACGAACAACCAAAACCAAACACTTCAAACATCTAATTTGACAAGTATGCACAGTAATCCAATCATGCCTGGGAATGACTCTAGTTGACCCAGTAACATAAAGAAAATTTAGACAGATTTATCATCAGATAAACAATTACAAAATGTCTAAATATACCTAGCCAATCATTGCTACAAAACACAACCTGACAGCTACAACAGTAGACATTATGATGTTATACATTAAAAGATCTATAGATTTATATTGACAACTTTAGAATGTCGTCAATATAAATCAAGAGCATTGAGGCAAGTAAGACTAGTGTCACAATTGCACTCTTGCGGCAGCGAGACAACGATTGAGCAGGACTTGTTCTAACCCAGCGAACAAATCAACCGTGTGAAATTTAGACTTCGAGACGATATCGGCGTATGCTCGAGACTCAGGTCACGTTTGTGAGAAATGTTTTAGAAAACGTGAGAAAGAAAATACGTTGAAAACAATTTTAAAGAAAACAATATTATAAGCAAAAAGCAAGTAGGCAACAATGGCAGCTTTGATAACATATAACCTGGGTAGGAAAAATTAACTAGTCACATCCCTTATAGTAAATTTTGGGACATTATAACCTTGACTGGGGTCGAAATGATTTTGGTGACCAGTCATACACCCTCGAATTGACACAACAATGATAGTAAAGGCCTATCTAACATGAAATACAAACTCCGAAAAATGAATAAAAAGAAGCACATGGGCGAAATATAGTATGTCATCATTAAGCCAGCATTCCAACTACAACAATTAGAAATAAACCATATAAAAATAGGCAAAGCACATTACCAGACAAAGAACGCTCTTCTTGACACCGAGCGAAGTCCCAAACTTTGACAGTAGTATCATCAGAACAGGAACAGAATTTTAAATCGGTTCTACAGAAGCTGTTCAAAACAATCTCATTATAATCAGGAGGAGCAATAAAAGGATGTAAGCCTCTTCAAATGTGCATTTATGCCGAACATCTATTCTACACAGGTAGAGAAATAGTAGGACCTCTATATTAGAGATGATAATGGAGGAGAAGGTTCCCCAACGGCTGGCACAATCAGAATTTGATCCTACTTTAGATATGGTCTATTTTTGGCTTCCATCATGCCAAAAGGCGATAGCAACCCTATCCCTCTCATTCCATTTTTCCACCCACCTTCATGTCATCTTTAGCTTCTATGTGGCTTTGATGTGCAAGAAGTTTCAGAATTTTCTTTTGTTTTCTATAGTACAAAATTTATTTGCCTGTAGGTTGCAATTTTTGTTCAAGTATTGATATAATTAAATTTACTATTACTTAAGTTTTTAAGTTTAGTGGTGATTTAATATGGAACCAGAGCAAGAGGTCTTGTGTTTGAAATCCTGTAATGTCATTTCTTCTCCCAGTTAATATTGGTTTCCACTTGAAGCCTTCTACAATTCCAAGCACTGAGGGGGAGTGTTGAAGTATTGATATAATTAAATTTACACTAATCCAATAGCTTAAATTTTTTAGTCCAATGATGATTTAACAAGTTTCATCCTATAACATGTCCTATTATTCTTAGTAGGTATTGTTATCAAGATGATTAATCTATAAAAAGAGTAGTATGCAAAAGGAATGTATTCAAAAAGGGCTATTAATTGCTACCTCAAGTCCCGAACTGATTCTTTGTGAGCTGATTTATTCGCCTTCACATTATTCATGTTATTTTGCCAATACCTACACATAAATGTTAATATGAAACCACCATCTGCTCTACAAATCTAAACTACAGCAGAACAAATAATGATTGAAAAATTGTGAAAATGACCATTTAATACATCCAAATTGTAGGGAAAAATTACTTTATTGAGCCCCCATCATCACCAGAGACCATCCAGTTGTCATTGTGGCTCCATACCATAGACCTAATTGCTTGATCATGAGCCTGCCAATTATGATGTTCCAGAAGTCCTTTATCGTTCATTTTTATGCAATTTCATTAATTAATTATGAAGCCCGTATACCTGAAGAATCATTTCAAAATTGAACGACTGTCCATTCCAAAGGGTAAATTCACCACTTTGTGAGCCTGTAATCAGACGTCTCCCAGTAGGAGTCCACTATGGAAGAAGAGAAGACAACACAGAAATGTTAAACACTAATGAGATGGAGGAAAGTCCCAGAATGCCAGAAAACCCTTTCTCACGAAAAGACGAAGAATGATATTCTAAAGAACCTTTGATGTAATTGTAACCGCTACACTATTCAATTTTCAGAACTATCCAACTTACAAAAAGCCCATAATATAAGTTGTGGGTTAACAAGACTTAATAATTCCTGCTAGTGATATGGATAATAACTGAAGTAGTAAAAAGATCAACTATCTACCCTCCTACAAATATAGTTCTTAAATGATAGGTTTAATGATTTTTCTAGCAAGGTTAAGTCTCTTGCCTTCTTCCCCCACAAATTTTGTTAAGTAAATGAAATACATTGTTTTTTACCCCCAATTAGAAAAGTTGAACATTGTTTTTTACCCCCAATTAGAAAAGTTCAACTTACCAACACTCTATTGATGGAACAACGATTTTTGTTGATTGAGGTATGGACAAATTTAGCGGCAAAGCTTGTAGATGGATTATCTGAATAGGCAGCTGGTGGCAACATCTGCATCAAGAATTCAAATCAGACAAATGGTAGTGAAAGAAAAATTATTTCTCTCTGTGCTTACAGCACAAGTTTTAAAATCAAGCCAGGAAAAATGATGGCAACAAAGAGTCAATGCAGCAATTTTTTTCTCAACAAACAAGAAATGTCACTGACATCAATCGATGCTGCTGGAGTTGATTGCAACACAGTCCTATCCATTGAATCTCGTTGCCACATACGGATCTGCAGATGAGTTAATAGATTATAAACTGAACCAAAATAGAAATCTGGAAGAAATATAAGAATAAAATTAAAATTAAAATTAAAAAAATGAAACAAAATCTCAGTGAACTGTACAAATCTAATTCATTTTTTCAAGAAAACAGGTTTTATTATCGTTATTCTTATTATTTTATGAATACTGACTTTCATTGAGAAAAAAAATCAAAGAACACAGACTTCCAAAGAATAAAAAGTTTTTTTCGGTCCCATAAACGATAATTGCTTCTAGAGGCCTTCAGTAGGGTCACTTTCTCTCATTTCTCTCTACATTTGAGTGGTTGATATTCTTAGTTGATTGGTCTCTACTGGTGCGTAAAAGGGTTGTGTTGAGGAGTTCTTTCTGAGAAGGCATAGGCTTTACCTTTGCACCTTTAGTTTACTGGTGGTACCTATTTCTTTTGCTTCAAGGAGGCTACCTCCTGTTAATCTGAATAGCTTACTTTCCTTCTTCAAAACTATGTCGAGTATTAAGATTAATTGAGAAAAGAACTCAACATTGGAACTAATAGTGGGCTTAACATATTAGGCCTCATTTTCTTCTGTAAGAAATAAGATACACTATACTATCCACCTTTAAAATAACACCAGCATGAGAACAAAAGACCTTGAGAAAATGCAAGACGACTACAAACCAAAATTAAGATGCAGAAACACAAATATGGGATAGAATCCCAACACAGTGACACAAATGTTTTGCTAAATAATTATTTTTTTATAGACCACCCATTGCTTGAGATAATAAAATGTACATCAAAATACCATGGAATTACAGAATAGGTCTCCATTGGTCATAAAAGAGTAACGGATAGTAACAAACAAAATATAAGATTTAATACACCATAAGGACGACATGTAAACAATAGCATCCTGAAGTTTTGTTAGTGGGAGTTTCGGTACTTCGTTTACTTACATTTTATTAATGAAATGCAATGTTCCTTCTAGTCTTCTCTTCATCTTGTAAAAATCTGTTGCATAGCAACTATGAGCTCCAAAGAGGAGCACAAAAATTATTTGACCATAAAGCCTTCGAGAATTTTCTAATTTTAGCCTAGGATCACCAAATTTTCGAAGAATCTAGGAAAATCCCCAACGAAGATTGTAAATCTCCAAAAGCTTGATCCACAAGGCCACCATATACACACAGGAGTTGAAGAGGTATCAGGACTTGGGCATTTTCCTAATTATTTCTACAGACAGCATCAATTCGAATTGAGAGTTCATGATTTCTAGTCTGAGTTCTATTGTATATACTGACTTGATGGCCACAAAGAGTCATACCAAATAAAGACTGTGTTTCTTTACAACCTTTTGACTTCAAATGGTTTAGGTAAAAACACTGGAGGACCAAATTTTCAAGAGTCAAACAAGAGAAGAAGGATTTCATAACAAAATACCCACGGCAATTAAGTTTCCAAAATTCTGTAGTCTTTCTCATGACAGAATTTTCAGTTATCAGGGATTCTCATAAGTATCTCCTAATCCTCGATCTCCCTACTCCAACTGTTTGTTTGATCATCTCACACATGTTTTCCCTTCAGCAACTTTTGAGAAGAGTTTATTTAAATTTTTACCTAGTAATTTTGTTTCATTGTTTTGCTTTCTTTCACTCCACTCGGAGTTTGTATTTGCTGAGCATTAGTTTTTCTGATTTTAACTTTCTTCAGTGAAAAGAAAAGTTTTGTTTCTTGTTTTAGGAAGAAAATTCTAATATCAGATTTCATAATATTTATCTAAGGGTCTGGATGCTTTTACACTTGCAAAATTTTGGTAGCCACCCTCGAGCCTTAATAGCATAGTGTCTGCATAACATTATGGCATAAAGTCTTACTGAAAGAACAAAACTTCAGTTGCTGAAGACAAGAAATAGAACTTAAGCAGTGAACAAGAGCTGTGTCAGAAAACAAGATATTTCAAGTCCATATACAAGCACTACCTGCATGTAGCGCACGACAGTACTAGTATAATCGACTGCCCTCCTTTGAGTAAGCTTCCTCATTCTTTTTGCACCAAAACTGTCCCCATGGGCTGCAGCAAATTTATATTCGACTTGTTAGAAACAGAAGAAACAGTGATCCCAAAGAAAATAAATAAAAGTCATTAGCCCCAGGTATATCCTAGAGGTGTTCGCCAGCCACATCAGACATGTGTGCAAGGCATGTTGGGGCACGTTGGACCAATGTTTTGAAAGGCAAGGCAAGCGCACCTCACTTCTTCCATGTTCAGACACACTGAGGCATGCACCTTACACCTCAAGTCCTTTTATACACAAACTAAGAAATTTCTTAAGAAAATGCTCATTTCTGTCATCAAACTCTTGCAATCTCTAATTTCTTAAATTTCTCATTATTTTATTATTCATAGTAATATATTTTGCATAAAAATTTAATTATATTTTTCAATCATGCCCTCACAACAAAAGGCCTTTTTTTTTTTGTTTTTTGCTTAGCACTTATCCCTTCAAGGACTGTTGTGCTTTAATTTGCTTCACACTTTAAAAAACAATATATAGGGCATGTTAAAAGTATCAATGCTTCAAACACTAGCTTTGTGATCGAGAAAAGTGTTACGTACACCATAGTTTGAAGGTCTTAAATTGGCATGAAGTCAAAAGATAAGCTATACAATTGAAGGGAAATGTTATTTTCGTAATTTATTGTATTCAAAAGAGGTTCAACTGGTTATAACATACAACCTCAACCAAGAGGTCAGAGATTCAAATCCTTCCATCTCCACATATTGTTAATCTCAAAAAAGTTTCTAGCTACAGCATTAGGAAATAAGAGAGTAAATCCTCTCTCCCCACCTACTTTAGTCTAAACCAACATGTGTTTTATCTCTCTCTCTCAAGTACTACTACATAAACCAACATGTGTTTTATCTCTCTCTCTCAAGTACTACTACATAACCCTAAGATTTTCCACACATACTACATACCAACATCATGGCCACATATGCATCATATGTTGTACACAAAGCATGTAACATTTGTCAGAAGAGAAAAAAAAAATCTATTTAAGTCGCACATGGCTAGGAGACGCGGCTTCACCCACTTTCTCAGCTCCCCCCTCACCTGTCTGATCTCCCTCACTCCCCTGTTTCCCTACACGACCTCATTGACTACATACGTGGTGTTTTCCAATGGTTGTAAGAGTAGATAGCATGGTGTTTTCCAGAAGATAACAGCGGCCCACAACTTTGGTTCGAGCATAACAGCATCAGATCTTTGCAAAAAGCAAGTTATGTCAGTTTTCTGCCATTCTGGTGTTTCCCCCTTCAACCAACAACGGCTCACACATTTTCCAAGAATTTTCTCCCTCTTTATCTTTCACGGCTTTTTGCCAAGAACGTCTCAACTGGCCCTTGTGTGTTTGAACTCCAAATTATGGATCAAAGCAACACATTCAAGCTTTGCGAATTGCAGCGTGTGGTGGTGTAGTCTTCTATGTGACTTTCCTAGAGTCATTCTCAATTTTTTAAGATAGATATGTGGGAGAGAAATAACTGGAAGTTTGTTCACCTTGGGGATGCTTTTATTACTGGTAGGATACAACTCAAACAAGGAGAAGCTCTTGCAAGACTCCCTCTATCCTACTAGCTCTAACTAAAAGTATCAAAAAGAGATTGAGGCAAGCTCCTCTACTAATTATAAACAATGAAAGCTTAAAGGCACCTTTTTTTCCGAATATAGGATTGACAACTCAGTTGATTCCTAGACCACAATAAGGCATGGGCTTCAAAAAAGATCAATAACCTCTGTCTCTATTCCATTAACAATTTTTCTCCATATTCACCCTATATCCATCGACATCTTCCAATGAAAAACAAATACTCCAGCCTAAATTGTTGAAAAGCTAGGAAGGACAGATAATGAACATCAATAAGACTCCCCTCCTCTCGCTAAAAGGGGAAAAAAATACCACAACTCCATGGATATTGTACTCTAGAACTTAATGAGGAACTTAGAGACTAAAGAGAAAGGAGAATATTCGAGAGAGCATATCGATCAAGGCCAACCCACTTCCATCAGAAAGCTCTTGATAAAATGATCCCTCCAAACCCCCAAAAGCTCAACTCTTAGTCACTTTATCGTCGAAAAGGTTTCAAAAAAGAGAAGAGCCTAGAAACCAACAACAAGAACTATCTGCATGCACTAAATGGAGCATTAATTAAAGGAGGAACCATCTCAGTAGCCTCAAACTTTCGACTTTCTCAAATACCTAAAAAATTCAAGATTGAAAGCACTTGCTCCATTTTGGGTAAATGAATGGTGATACAAAAATCGGAACTACAATCAATTTCACGCCGTCACTGCAACCCATTCTATACATTTAAGATTAATTGATAAACCACACATCCAAGGCCCTGTTAACAGAGTTAACAACACCCCCCAGAAATCCAGCAACCAATCCAAAGTCCCAAATGACTTGGGTCGCCGCAGAAACTCCCAAAAATTCAGAAACCAAATAACACAAAAGACCGTTTACCTTCATAAGGAGGAGCAGGGCCAGATGGGTGGCGAGGATGATGGTGCTGTTGAAACTCCGGAGCGAGTGTAGTCGAAGAAGCAGACGGCTGCCTCATCATGGGTGGCCCTGACGGAGGCGGGCCTCTTGGGAAATCCCCACCAAGAGGATGCTGATTGGGCTGCTGCTGCTGCTGAAACTGCTGGGGATCACCGTACATGTTGTATACGCTGAAACTAACGTGATTGAAAGGGAAATGTTGTGTAGAAGAAGAGAGGAGATTGAGAAGAAATGTAGAGAAGAGGATTGAATAAAAAGTTGAAGACCCTTAAACCCTAAACAATTTATCTGTAACCTGGTTCTTCTGAACGATCTCAGCTGCTGTGTCCGCTGTCCGGGTTTTGAGCTTTCGGCCTCCAGAAGGCGGGGACCAATCTACTTTTGATTTTCCGTTTTTTTTTTTTTTCTTTTTAATCAGATTTTACTCAATTTTATAAACATTTTGGTTCTCCAATCAATATCATGTAAATTGACATGATAATTAATATTAAAATATATATATAATTATAATTATAGGTCAATTATAGATGAAATAAATGGTAACAGCCATTTTAATCTATTACATAATTGTAAAATGTAATAGTAAATAATAGTGCTAATTTTCATAATATTTTTTTTTAACATAAATATAGTTTTAAAAAATAATTTTAAAAATAATTTTCATAATATTTTCATAACATATTTCTTACAAGGATGAAAATTGTGTTTCTTCGTTAAGTTTAACGTCTGGTTTTCATATTAAATGAGGTTATTAATATTTTTTACTAGCGCCTTAGAATTCTCACAATATGTCACATCTTCCGTTATTTTATTTTTCTATATAATCGAGACCTAAATATGATTTAACAGCACCTCGTCTGATTTTCAAACTATGCCAAGACCTAAATATGATCGAGCGAACATGCAAATAGATAAACATTAGCAATGAAGATTATATTATGAATTCCCTTCAACAATTCATCAATCCATTTCTTAAAATAAAATTAAAAAAAAAAAAAAAAAAAAAAAAAAAAAAAAAAAAAAAAAAA